TTAGAGGTTTTTGCTGACTTAAGTAGGTCTTTGTCCTTCAACGATCTCATTACCCAGCAAAGATGGTACAATCATAGTTTTCAGTATCACAATAACCTCCCCTTTTGCTGTTTGATGAAGGTTTAGACTCACTAAAAAGGTTTCCTGTTGATTAAATGAATACATTATACATGATGATTTACCTAAAATGATAATCTCAGTTTATTCAATTCAATTCAATTCAAAAATACTTTATTAATCCCAGAGGGAAATTGATTGCTGTAGTAGCTCAGAATAATAATAAGTCATCAAAGAGTTGTTGCATATTACAATGGCTGTTGGCAGGAAGGATCTCCAGCAGCGGTCAGTGTTGCAGCGAAACTGAAGAAGCCTCTGACTGAAGACACTCTTCCGTTGTCGGACAGTCTTGTGAAGAGAATGCTCAGGGTTGTCCATGATTTTCTTGATTCTCTGGAGAATCCTTCTTTGCATCATCTCCTCCAGCGGTTCCGAAACTGCCGAAACTCTGGCTGAGTCCTTGAAAGAGCTTGGAGTTCCTCCATCTTGTTGGCCAGTGATCTCACATTGCCCATTATGATCGATGGAAGAGATGGTTTGAATTTCCTCTTTCTCTGTCTCCGTTTTGCTCCCGCTCTGCATCCACGTTTCTTGCGTTTTAGCTCATTTGGTATTTGTGGCTTCAGTTGAGGTATTATTTCAGCCTTTCCAATGTTAGTCAGCTGCTTCCGATTGTAAACCAGCTTGTTGCCATGGTTACGCATCATAACAAATGCTCAAAAGTGAAAAAATAGCAGTAAAAATCCTCCAAGCTTCACAGCACCAGAAACAGAAAAGTAAAATGTCCAAAAAAAATTGTTTTCCTTGAGAAACTAGAAGAAAAAATGTCCAAGAAAAGGCAAAACTTACATATAGTCAACAGAGCTACTCCAACATGCAGCCGCCCAAAGCAGCGCAGTTCCGGAACAAAAGTTTTGTAAAGTATTGGGATCTATAGAGCATAAAATATTTAATATCTCAGGGTTTGAATGTGTTTTGTGGAAAACGTCAGAAGTCCCGAGCTCTAGTACAGAAATATTGTTCAACATCACTTTGTCTTTGTCAATTCCGCTTCAACCTATCCAGCATGTGTTACATGTTCCTCTGCTTCACCTAACTTGAACAAAAGTGATTAAAGGGCTTCTGCAGAACGTGAGCAGGCAGCAATAAAACCTGCAGGATAGTAGCCCTGGAGGACTACTTTACATATGTAGATTATAGTGAGGGGATTATAATCTCTGACAGGACTTCTTCAGTCATTTAAAAAATAGAGAACATAAAAAAACAATGTGGCAAAAACTGAGCTGTAAATCAGAAAGTCTGCACTCAGTGACACCATATTACAGCTGACTGAACTAACACTAGCCGCGATGAGCTTGCTTTAAATCGGGGTATCAGAATGCTTGGTGAGCAGAAAGGAAGGAGAAAGTGATTCAAGCAAAGCAGGATGACCCTGAAAAATTAGCTAGAAAAGCTGACCCACAATACAGGGAATAAAAAATACGTGATGCAACGTCAACAAGACAAATACAAGAATGAGTGCATAGTTTTCTTTGAAAGTCATAAAAGTGTGATGATTAATAAAATCTTTGTGTGGTGGAGAAAAATAAACAGAAACAAAGAAAAAATGAAGCAAAAACACACAAGCTGGGGACAATTAACCATAATCATCTGACAAAGCCCCAAAATGATTATTTTTGGTAATTTAGAAATCAAAACAAGATCAGGCATGTTCTAAAACATCAGTCAAATGCTGTGACAGGCAGCTTAAATGATGTAAAAGCTTAATAATTCCCACAAATTCAAAGACGCTTTGTTTATTGAAGTCAGAACTTGCTTACCAGGTTACAACATTTATGCGTGAGAAGGAAAATTAATTTAAATTCACCTGAAGCAATGTAGGAGGGAGGTGCACACCAGATCACCTCTTCAGCATATTTAAAATAACAGCTGTGAAATAAAATATATAAATGCTTATAAACTGTCACTGACAAGCACCAAATGTGCTTTTTTAAAATTCACCTAGAACTCTAAGGTTCCTTGAGTCAAAACTAAATGCAATTTGTTAGGATCACTTGTTTTGAAGATCATAGTTAGTAATAGTTCATTCTTGCATGGATGTTATGGGGTGCGAAGCCTTGCTGTGAGAATAAAATAATCCGAAAATGAAATATGCTGTCTGATTTCTGAAGCCACACCTGGGACACTTTACACCAGTCCTCACATGTGTACTGGAAAGCTGTTGGACCGTGTCTATGTGTTTTCTCTCATTTCTCTCACCAAAAGAATGGGAACCGTTTATTTGTATATCCTCAGCCTATGACCACCGATGGGCCTGTAATAAAAAAAAAACAAACACAATGATCCAGGTGAGATCAAGTCTAAGGAGATATTGAGTTTAGTTTAGCTTTTAACTGATTACTATTTATTGCATTGCTTGTTTTATTTATTTATTTTAATTACTGTTATGTTACACATTTATGTAGTTTTATTTCCATAATTACAACTTATTGGATACTTTACTATCCATATAAGCTCTTGTTATTTTACATGTTACGTATTTTAATCCTTCCAGTGTTTCCTCTGTGGAGCCCTCTGCCTCGGGACTGGTGGTCCGTAGCGGCAGCTGGGGCTCTCATTGGGTAGTGCCCAAGTAGTGGTGGGGGTTGCTACCCTCCCTTCAAGGGTGCCCTAGATTGGTGTCTTGGCTGCTGCCGTCGATCTGCTGCTGTCGAGGCAGATGGCTCCCTTGATGGCGTGTCTTTCATTACCTGTCCAATCTGAGCTCAACTTAATGTTTACTGTGGTCTTTTAATGCGTTATGCATACGAATGTGTGTGTGTGCGCCTGGGAATGGTTTGTGGATTGGGGATGAAACTGTCATAATTGTTTTAAGTGTGGGAAAGGGAGGGGATGTGGGTTATACGGGTCATTTTAATCTGTTAAGCACTTTGTGTTGCTTGCTTTATATGAAGTACTATGTAAATAAAGTTTGATTTGATCGACCTATTCAAGAACTGACTTGGTTGATGTAGACCTTCTGCATCTGCAGGATTTTACCACTTTGCTTTGTAAATTCTTTGGTGTGTTAGAAACAACAACAAAACAGACATATGTCTCATTTGTTCTCCAGTCTAGCTGACACAAGTAAAATGTATTCATGTCACTTCGGAAGTGTCAGGTTGGATGGGCTGAGCTGAAGCGTAGCAGAGGTGATTGTAGCGTGGCTGTGTGACCCAGACGCGGAGTGACTGGCGTTTGGTTACAACAGGAACGCAGTTTGCTTTAGGAACGGCGAAACAGCACTCGCATGGAGTCGAGACTGAGTCGGGGTTCCTTCTAGGTAGGGAGCTGTCGTGAGTGCAGACAGCGTGGAAAGTTCTCTTTCCTGGATTGATTTTAGGAATAGTTCGGTTGGGCTGGTTAGGCGTCTGTCGTGAGATGATGACTGAATGACAGCTCAGCGGTGACAGTTCCTTAAATAGCTTCCGCGTGTCACGTCACCGAGTAGCGTCGGTGGCGGGAATGCTGGGAAATGGAGTGCTGCGCCAACCTGGCCCGCAGAGGAGGTCAGGAGGAGGAAGAGTTCATGACAGGAAGGCTGCTATTGACCCGATAAAAGGCATAGCTGGAGTTTTTCTTCACTAGAATAGATCTAACACTTCACCAGAGAATATTTATGTGACTAAAATTAATGGAGACAGAAAAGTAGGAAGTTGAGAGAAAAAGTGGTTTCGTCCACAAAGCTAATTTATCGTAGGATTTTCTGCTTAAATTTCATCAACTCCTGAGTTTAACGATACAAAAATAACACAAAAGACAAGGTGCACCAGTCAAAATAAAAGCTCTTTTCTGTGTTCACCATAAACTATGCCAATTACTCTGCTGCCAAACCTAACGCAACACTACATAATGATTATTGATGTGGCAATAACCATTGATGAGGTCTATTCTTTTGCTATTTCTTTTTAATTTATTGGAAATTATTAAACCTTTAGCCTAGAAGGCTTTTTAGTCTAAAGCAAAAGCCAGAAAAAGTTAAAAATGATTTTTTTTTAGGCGAGACAAAAACAATAACACATAACGATATAGGTAACAATGGCGGCAGAGGAGTAGAGAGCCTGTCCTGTAACTGGAAGGTTGCAGGTTTGAGCCCCTTTTGTTGCAGTCTTTGTGTCCTTGGGCAAGACGCTTCACCCTCTTTGCCTGCTGATGGTGATGGGAGGGAGTGTAGCAGCTGTGGCTACGATGTAGCTCATCAGTGTGAACGCATGTGTGAAGGAATTGAGTGTTTAGTGCTTTGGAGTTTTCTGGCTATACAGGTGCAGGTCATTTATCATTCGTCACATGTTTTTGTGATGACCAACAGATGATAGTAATGTGTGATAAGTGCACGTGAATGGGGCAGGCCTCCCCGACCCTAGAACAGTGATACTCACTCCTGATCCTGGGGAGCTGATATCCAGCATGTTTTTGTTCTAGCTGTGCTTCAACACACCTGTTTTCAATCAGAAGGTTATTAACAAGCTTCTGGAAAACTCGGAAAGCTGCTGAACAGGCGAATCAACCACTGAATTAGGTGTATTGAAGTAGAAACAAGGAAAACATGCTGGATGCCCACTCTCCAGGACCAGGAGAGAGTTCCACTGATCTAGAAGCTGAGAAACTAAACAAACTTAAGCAAAACCAGTGGATCATGACAAAAGACTGAAAGAGGAAGTACAGAAATGCTGAAAATACAGGTTGTAGTGGTGCCAGTGGTGATAAGAGCACTTAAAGCTAAGCGAGTGGCTTCAACTGTTTGACCTCAAACATATCTAATCCATCAGTGTTTTATGCCTAAAGTAAAGTGTAGAAGGAAGTATTATCTTTGACACATCTGGCTCCACCTCACTGGTGCATACACAAATAACTCTTTGTTTACTGTATATTCAGCCAATAGCTTGCCCTGCAGACAAAGTGGGCGTGTCTCTGCCAGGTCTAAGCTAAACTGAATCTTGCTCCATCATTGAGTTCCTGTCCTGGATAGCAAGCAGCAATGAGGACTTTCCTGCTTCTGCTGGTACGTGTTTTTAGAATCCCCATTCTTTGTATTGTTGTCTAAGCAAATAACATTTATGTAACAGTATCGTTGGTGTCATTAACTGATTAATCTCTTTTATTTAAAATATGGGAACAGAAAGGAAAAATAATGAACCTGTTTATTTAACCCTTTGATGCATGAATTATGAAATCTTCAACCATCATTCATTTTTAACATTTTTTTTCATTTATTTTTAGGTGTGAATGAATCAAATTTTAACAAATATTTTTTGTAACATTTAATAATTTACAAATAATAGATTACATGTCCACCTCAGTGGACAGCGTGCATTCTGAACATGAAATATATTGGCTTGACTTACTGAAGTCCAAATGGAGGGGGGGCTCAAATGCAACAAAGTCTTCAACAGCTGGGCTTAATTGCAAAAAACTAAATAAAATACAATTTTGAGTACCTGTTCACTGTAGTGACCATTATGCATCAAAGGGTTAAATGATACTAATAATAATAATAATAATAATAATAATAATAATAATAATAATAATAATAATAATAATAATAATAATAAAGAGATGCTGAATTAGACTTGATTTGAAGCCACCTTGTTATGCTATCTATGTAGCAATGTTGCAAAATGGCCACAGTTTTTAGACTGACTTATTAAAGGAGTTGACAGGCCTTCTTATGAAAGCGTTTGTAGTCAGGGGTAGACTGGCCTATCTGGCATTCTGGCACTGTCCCGGTGGGCCGATTAGCCAAGTGGGCCACTTGCCCAGCTTGGGCTGTCCCAAACAAAGCCCCCATCTCAAGTGCGGTTATAGAGACAAGTCTGCGAGCAGCACACACAACACGCCGTCCCTCCCCCCACATTTGGCGGGATAGACGAGTCGCAAGCAGCAACCTCCCCTGCCGAGGGCCGACGGAACATAAAAATGCCAGGGCCAAATTTTGGTCCCAGTCCACCCCTGTTTGTAGTTATTACATTTAGGAACTGATTCTTGTTGGTCAAAAATAATTTAGTTAAAATACATCAAGCAGTTAAATGGGGCAGAAGGTCTTTGTTACAAATAGTTTTTTAAAACATTTTACTTTATTTTCATTTACTGCTTTATGATTCAAAAGATTCAAAACTTTATTGCTATTTTCTGCTCACATAGCATGAAATGAGTGACAAAATGATTGGACTCCTCCTGCGTTACATACAATAAGCAAAATCAAACAAAACAAAAACAATAATATTACAAAAACAGTAGTATTAAAAACAGCAATGGAAACAGGAAATACCGTTTAGGCAGCCCAAAAATAGTCTGTGTAGAGTGTAAGGGGCGGGCACAGTGAGGTTGACATTTCTGTGGGGTGAAGGCAGAAACTAATGCATGTGTTAATGTTCTGGACCAATAATTCAGTAAAACATTTCATACTGGGGTAGAAAATAAAATCACCACACATATGGTGGCCTTCACTCCTTTAACCTTCGTCTTCGTCTTCCTCCGCTTATCCGGGTCCGGGTCGCGGGGGCAGCATCCCAATTAGGGAGCTCCAGGCCGTCCTCTCCCCGGCCTTGTCCACCAGCTCCTCCGGCAGGACCCCAAGGCGTTCCCGGACCAGATTGGAGATGTAACCTCTCCAACGTGTCCTGGGTCGACCCGGGGGCCTTCTGCCGGCAGGACATGCCCGAAACACCTCCCCGGGGAGGCGTCCAGGAGGCATCCTGACCAGATGCCCAAACCACCTCAACTGGCTCCTTTCGATCCGGAGGAGCAGCGGTTCTACTCCGAGTCCCTCCCGAATGTCCGAGCTCCTCACCCTATCTCTAAGGCTGAGCCCGGCCACCCTACGGAGGAAACTCATTTCGGCCGCTTGTATCCGCGATCTCGTTCTTTCGGTCATTACCCAAAGCTCATGACCATAGGTGAGGATTGGGACGTAGATCGACCGGTAAATCGAGAGCCTGGCTTTCTGGCTCAGCTCCCTCTTCCCCACGACAGATCGGCTCAGCGTCCGCATCACTGCAGACGCCGAACCAATCCGCCTGTCGATCTCCCGATCCCTCCTACCCTCACTCGTGAACAAGACCCCGAGATACTTAAACTCCTCCACTTGAGGTAGGACCTCTCCCCCGACCCGGAGGTGGCAAGCCACCCTTTTCCGGTCGAGAACCATGGTCTCAGATTTGGAGGTGCTGATCCTCATCCCAGCCGCTTCACATTCGGCCGCGAACCTACCCAGCAAGAGCTGAAGGTCAGAGCTGGATGAAGCTAGGAGGACCACATCATCCGCAAAAAGCAGAGACGAGATTCTCCTGCCACCAAACTCGACACACTCCACACCACGGCTGCGTCTAGAAATTCTGTCCATAAAAGTGATGAACAGAACCGGTGACAAAGGGCAGCCCTGGCGGAGTCCAACCCTCACTGGGAACAGGTCCGACTTACTACCGGCTATGCGGACCAAACTCACGCTCCTCTGGTAAAGGGACTGAATGGCCCTTAACAGAAAGCCACCCACCCCATACTCCTGGAGCGTCCCCCACAGGGTGCCCCTGGGGACACGGTCATAAGCCTTCTCCAAATCCACAAAGCACATGTGGATTGGTTGGGCAAACTCCCATGCCCCCTCCATCACCCTTGCAAGGGTATAGAGCTGGTCCACAGTTCCACGGCCAGGACGAAAACCACATTGCTCCTCCTCTATCTGAGATTCAACTATCGATCGGACCCTCCTCTCCAGTACCTTGGCGTAGACCTTTCCAGGGAGGCTGAGGAGTGTGATCCCCCTATAGTTGGCACACACCCTCAGGTCACCCTTCTTAAAGATGAAGACCACCACCCCGGTGTGCCACTCCCTAGGAACTGCCCCCGATGACCACGCAATGTTGTAGAGACGTGTCAACCATGACAGCCCTACAACATCCATAGCCTTGAGATACCCAGGACGAACCTCATCCGCCCCCGGGGCTCCGCCGCTGTGTAGTTGTTTGACTACCTCAGCAACTTCTGCCCCCGAGATCGGACAGTCCATCCCCAGGCCTCCCAGCTCTGGTTCCTCCTCGGAATGCGCATTGGTGGGATTGAGGAGCTCCTCAAAGTATTCCTTCCACCGTCCGACTATAGCCTCAGTTGACGTCAGCAGCTCCCCATCCCCACTGTAAACAGTGTGAGCGAGTTGCTGCCTTCCTCTCCTGAGGCGCTGGACAGTTTGCCAGAACCTCTTTGGAGCCGATCGATAGTCTTTCTCCATGGCCTCACCAAACTCCTCCCACGCCCGAGATTTTGCCTCGGCAACTGCCACTGCTGCACCCCGCTTGGCTATCCGGTACCTGTCTGCTGCCTCCGGAGACCCACAGACCAGCCACACCCTGTAGGCCTCCTTCTTCAGCCTGACGGCTCCCCGAACCTCTGGTGTCCACCAGCGGGTACGGGGGTTGCCACCACGACTGGCACCGGCCACCTTACGACCACAGCTAGCAACAGCCGCCTCGACAATCGCAGAGTGGAACAAGGCCCACTCGGACTCAATGTCCCCCACTGCTCTCGGGACGTGGTCAAAGCTCTGCCGGAGGTGGGAGTTGAAGACCGTCTTGACAGGTTCTTCTGCCAGGCGTTCCCAGCAGACCCTCACTATGCGTTTGGGTCTGCCAGGTCTACGCGGCATGTTCCCTTGCCATCTGATCCAACTCACCAGCAGGTGGTGATCAGTTGACAGCTCCGCCCCTCTCTTCACTCGGGTGTCCAAAACATACGGCCGCAGGTCAGATGATGCGACTACAAAATCTATCATCGACCTGTGACCTAGGCTGCCCTGGTACCAAGTGTACCGGTGGGCATCCTTATGTTCGAACATGGTGTTTGTTATGGCCAAACTGCGGCTTGCACAGAAGTCCAATAACAAAACACCGCTCGAGTTCAGATTAGGTGGGCCGTTCCTCCCAATCACACCCCTCCAGGTCAAGCTGTCATTGCCCACGTGAGCATTGAAGTCCCCCAGCAGGACAATGGAGTCCCCTGATGGAGCACTATCTAGCACTCGTCCTAGGGACTCCAAAAAGGGTGGGTACTCTGAACTGATATTTGGCCCATAAGCACAAACAACAGTCAGGACCCGTTCCCCAACCCGAAGGCGCAAGGAAGCTACCCTCTTGTCCCCCGGGGTAAACCCCAACACACAGGCAGAGAGTCTCGGGGCTAACAAAAAGCCAACCCCAGCCCTCCGCCTCTCACCCGGAGCAACTCCAGCAAAGTAGAGTGTCCAACCCCTCTCCAGGTCTCGGGTTCCAGAGCCAATGCAATGTGTCGAGGTGAGTCCGACTATATCTAGCCGGTACCGCTCAACCTCTGCCACAAGCTCCGGCTCCTTCCCCGCCAGCGAGGTGACGTTCCATGTCCCAAAAACTAGTTTTCTTGTCCGGGGATTGGACCGCCAAGGCTCCCGCCTTGGTCTGCCACCCGATTCGCATTGCACCGGACCCTTCATGTTCCTCCTGCGGGTGGTGGGTCCACAGTTGGACGAGCCCATGTATCCGATTCGGGCTGGGCCCGGCCGGGCCCCATGGGCGAAAGCCCGGCCACCAGGCGCTCGGCCACGGGCCCCAACCCCAGGCCTGGCTCCAGGGTGGGACCCCGGTAACCCTCCGGGCCGGGTACTCCGACTCTTCGTTTTAACCGCCATGAAAGATCCTTCGAACCGTTCTTTGTCTCACCCTTCACCTAGGACCAATTTGTCATGGGAGACCCTACCAGGGGCACTAAGTGCCCCAGACAACATAGCTCCTAGGATCATTAGGGCACTCACACTCCTCCACCACGATAAGGTGACGGTTCCTTTAACCTGATAAACCAAAACCACTGAACCTGTATTTTGGCACTTTGATGTCAAAGGTGTGACATCAGCAACAATATCGAGTCAAACGCTGATGGGTCTTCCTAGAACACCTGTTTTCACTTGTGCATTCTTAGTGAGTGTTCAGATTTCATAGGAGAAAATGGATGTGGGCAGAAATCAGCTTAGGCTTGAGTAGTTGAGCCAGTAACATAAAATCTTTACCTCAAGCAAACTAAACAAGAACTGAAGTCAACAGTTTTGAAAAAAAAAAAAACAACAAAAAAACAAAAACAGAAACAACATTTTCTGAAAATGTATGTTCAAAGTTTCTCTCTGTTGGAATAAATTACATGGCTTTCATTATCTTTTTGCAAAATCATCTTCATTCTTGTATCTGCTTTAGTTACTTTTAGAAATTTACATAATTCTTCAGAGTTTTGGTGAATTTATAAGGTTTTCTTAGAGATGGCATAACTTTAGGCAAATAGGTCTTAAAATAAAAATCTGAGACATTTGTTCCACAATGGTTACCTATGAAAACCAATAAGAAATCATTTCTTTTCTACAATGTTTGTTCTTTCTTGCATATTATGCATGGTTCCACGGCATCTTTTATAATAGTTTGAAGCAAAAACATAAAAAGGTGAAAATATTTGCAATTTCCAAAATTTACGAGTTGTGATTTTCTTGTTTTTCCATGTCACAGTTTTTACAAGCATTAATGTGAAGAACCTTTAAACTGCTTGCTTTCCCTTTAAGAAAATAAATAAATAAAGTAATTTTCTGTTTGCTTGAAGTATTTAACATATTCCTTGACTTCATCACAGTCCTAAAACGCCTGTTCACTGAGCTACAAGTAAATCATGTTTATTAACTAAGAAATGTTGCAATTTAGTTGTAAAAATGTATGTATTTTATAGTTTCAGCTTTTACACGTTTTTAAAAGTGTTGTTTGTTCAGACTGTTTGTGGTGATGCAAAAACCACTAGTTAGAAAAATACGAGGAAAAAGGAAACAATTGTGGGGACAACTTCACCCTAAATAGGAAATGTGAGAAAGAAATGCATCATTGAAACCATTTTGTTTTTCTCTTCCATGCAGGTTGCATTAGCAGCCATCAGAGAATGCCAGGGTGGTAGCAAGTACAATAATAACCGTTTTATACGGGTAAATGTTTAGTATTTTAAACCAAATTCTATATTTGCTGCTGAATAGAGAATCTACTAATTGTTTATTTCTCATCTGGGCTACATTAGGATGTTTTACTGCGTTCTAAAAGGAGATGGGTCCTGTCCACGATTGACCTAGAGGAGAACATGGAGGTGGATTACCCATTCACAATTACAACGGTAACAAATTTTATAATAACTGGTCAGAGTCTGATAGCCCTCTTTTCCATTAAGATGATATATGCTAAATTTAATAAAGTTTCTTTTAGATGCACAACGACAAGACTCAAGGGAGAGAATATAAGTTTGTAATAAGTGGAGATGGTGTTGATGATAAATTGTTCTCCATAAATGATGCAACCGGAGATGTCTTTGTGCACAGAAAAGTTGATCGAGAGGAGAAAGAGATGTATCACGTGAGCTGATATGAGATAATTCATCCTTCTAATAATTAATTCCTAATACGATGTGGAAAATGCTTTACCTGAGTATTTCAATCCACAGATCACATTTGATGTCTGGGACAAAGCAACTAACACAAAAATGGACAGAGAGCTATCTTTTGATGTCCAAGTAAAAGACTTAAATGATAATGCACCGATGTTTACCAGAATTAACAAAACGGTCAGTGTGGATGAAAACATGGAGGAAGGTGAGTATACAACTTTGTAAAATTGATATGATATTGAGAGATCTTTAAACAGCCGTCTTTAATAGTGAGGGTTATTAAAGGGTATAACAATTCTTGTTCAGCCTGTGTGATGTATACCTTTTCTGGTTGTACAAGGATTCCTGCCAGCATCTATGGAGTTTAAAGATAATGATAAGGAGAAAACAATCAACTCAACGGTCTCAATAAGTGTGGTTTCTCAGAACCCGGTAGAGCCTAAGATTAATGTCACACAGATTGATGACAGAATGGCCCGACTCACTTTCAAAGGATGTTTTGACTATGATGTAAGGATAAGAATGTTATTTAATCCAGAATAACAGCTGGTTCATGGCTATGCAGTCCCAGGCTTACCTTAAAACAATTATGTTTTTTTTTTCAGAAAGCAAAGCAGTTTAAAGTAAAAGTTAAAGCAAGTGATCATGGAAAGCCACCTCTGTCCACCACTGAAGTTATTACGCTCAATATTGTCAACAAAAACAATAACGCTCCAAAGTTCAAGCAGAAACAAGTAAGTTTTTGTGTTATTATTACATTTTGTTTCTAGAATTCAGAATATGTTTTAAACGACTTTATTTCTTCGTAGTACGAAGTTGAGGCTGTGGAAATGACTACCCATGATGATATTTTGAGAATTGCAGTAGAGGACAAGGATCCTCCTAACACTGATGGCTGGAAGGCCAAGTACTACTTTATCAGTGGCAATGAAGAAGAAATCTACAGCCTTAGAACTGACCCAAAAACTAATGAGTGTATTCTGAGTGTTGTCAAGGTAACAGCTGCTCTCCATCTGACTAAAATATGTACTCAGTTCAAACTAATAATCCAATGCATGCCCTCAACAGCAATTTCATTTGTTCTGATCACAACTGGTTTGTTTTTCTAGGAGAAGAATTACAACCAAAATACTTTGGTGAACCTGACAATCGGAGCTGAAAATGTTGAGCCCTTATCCATTTGTAAAGATAATAAACTGATTAAAGATCCAAAGCTGCTCCCACCTCCAGATTCAGTTAATGTTACAGTGAAAATGCTCGATACCAATGACGCACCAGTGTTTGAAAAATATACAGACGAGGTGTATCAGGTAGAAGAGTCGGAGCCAGGACAGGTGCTCTACACTCCAAAGGTTCAGGATATCGACTCACCCAATGTCAGGTATGTTTCAACATGCTGCATGTCTTCTAAGCAAGAAGAAGAGATAATGTCAATGCATTTGGTTGGTTGTCTGTATGACAGATAGATCAAGTGATAAAAATCTAAGTTAATAGATGTTGAAAGATAAAATCAGGTGTCTAATGTATGAATGAAAAAGGCAGTAACGTTCATATTAAAGACCAGGGACTCACCAGACCCATTAACATAGCTTGCATACACACAAAATGAGGTCTAATATTTGCTTAAATTAAAAAATAATTGTTGACAGGAACATTTGCGCAACCTTAAGCCAACTCTAATTTGGCGCAAGCACATTCTGTAGACAGGGAAACTGGCAAAATAATACACTTTCAGATCTGTAGACCCACACACACACACACACACACACACACACACACACACACACACACACACACACACACACACACACACACACACACACACACACACACACACACACACACACACACCTTCAAATGACTTACTGATGCAATAGACATCAAACATGACACAGCACGTCCAATTTAAATAAGAAGAAATGAAACGTCCCACAACTTCCAGCCTTGGAGACTGTTGCCAAAAACAAGCCTGGTACTTACAAGGGTCTTTAATGGAGCCAACAGGCATCAAGGTGTGACATGTTACCCAGTTCTAAAGGGTGTACACAGAAAATTACAAGGTATATTCAAGGGTATGTACAGGGAAAGTGCTGGGTATTTACAGAAGCATGAGGATACACTGTATTTAACGGTATGAATTCTGTGCCCACCCATACCAGGTACGGGTCAGTGTAATTACAATGTACTCACTTTGTTCACCATTTACTTGCCATATATGCTGACAGAAGTAGCTCAGAAAGTAGAGCAGGTTGTCCAGTAATCGGAAGATTGTAAGCTCGAGCCCGTCTCAGACAAGAGAATGCTGCTGGGCTAGACACTTAAGTATTTTATATATATATATATATATATATATATATATATATATATATATATATATATATATATATATATTACTACTACTAAATACCCTGTACACACTTTCACATGTTCCTGGTACGTACTCCCATAGGTACCCAGAGAAAACTATACACTGCGATCAGTACTTGGTACTTACCTCAGGAGTGACCTTATACCTACTACAGATCCCTTTAAAGGTGCATTAAAGGATCTTTATCTGAAGTAGGTTTTGCTATTACTTGAAAGGCTCTTCACATACCAATGGCAAGCAATAATTCAAATGTTTTGCCCAAAAAATGAATAGTTGCAATTGTTTCAGAAATTTTCAATCCAGGACAAACCTAATCCAATCATTGCGTCACGTAGCGTTGTGGGTGGCAGCGGACCATGTGTGGTGGAGCTGACCCAGGAGGCAGAAATGCAGGCTCAGATAACATAAACCGGATTTAATGACTGAGGAAACAGCAGGAGCAGCAAGACAAGGTGGAGACACCACAACAATGATCCGACAAGGGACACATGCAAAACGGGAGTTATAAATACACAGGGAAGAATCAGGAACACATGGGCAGGTTAACAAGGGGCAGGTGAGTCCAATAAATCACTAATCAGGGGCAGGAGAGAGCAAGAGTCAGAGGGGTAGGAGCAGATCCTGACACATTGTGAACATCCCATTCCTGATGATTAGATCCTGATCCATGATAAAACTTGTGTCTGTGTTTATGTGTGTGCAATATAATAAAAGCTCAAGGTTTGCAGCCTGGTTGGTGCTGTAGAAGGCTCAGACTGAAGACATGATACCTGTGAATAAACTTAAGGCAGCAGTGTTTAATCTTGGTTCTCAAGGGCCACCATCCAAAATATTTTAGAAGATTCTCTGCTTGGACATACCTGATTTTAATGAATGCATGATTTACAGGCCAAAGGGGTTGGGTGCAATGTGGGATGGTTGGTAGCCGAAGGCGAAGACTTTGGCGGTCTGATCCTCAGCTACAAAAGCTCGTTCTCGGTACGTGGAATGTCACCTGTCTGGTGGGGAAGGAGCCGGAGTTGGTGTGCGAAGTTGAGAGGTTCTGACTAGATATAATCGGACTCAACTCCACGCATGGCTCTTGCTCCAGAACCAGTTTCCTTGAGAGGGGCTGGATGTTCTACCACTCTGGAGTTGTCCCCACTGAGAGGCACCGAGTCATAGTGGCTGACCGCAGCTGCAGGGTCGTTGTTGCCTGTCGTGGTGGCAATCCCTGAACAGCAGGTGCACACTGACAGTTAGGGATACTGTCAAGCTGAAGAAAGTGAAGTGAAGGGAAAGTGAAATGCCTGTGGGACTCCAGAAGCAGCTGATGGGTACCGGCAGGCTAAGCGGAATGCGGTCCGGGTGATCACAGATGCAAAATTCCAGGCATGGGAAGAGTCCTGTGAGACCGTGGAGCAAAACCTCGGAACGGCTTAGAGGAGATTCCGGTCCACTATTCGGCGTCTCAGGAGGGGAATGGTGTGCTGCTGACCTCGACTCGGGACGTTGTGGATTGGTGGGCAGAGCACCTCGAGGTCCTCCTCAATCCCACCGGCACATCTTCCAATGAGGAAGCAGAGTCCAGGGACTTTGGGTAGGGCTCTCTAATCTCTGGTTCTGATGTCAAAAAGCTCCTCGGTGGCCAGGCCACCGTGATGGATGTGATCCGCTCAGAGTTCCTTAAGGCTCCGGATGTTGTATGGTTGTGTTGGCGGACACAACTCTGTAGTATTGAGTGGACATCGGGGGGCAGTTCCACTGTATTGGCAGACCGGAGTGGTGGGGGCCGCAGGATGTGTTCGAACTACAGAGGGATCCCACTCCTGAGCCGTCTTAGTAAAATCTATTCAGGGGTTCTGTAGAGGAGGGTCGAACCTCAGATTCAGGAGGAGTAATGTGGTTTTCGTCCTTGCCGTGGAACACTGGACAAGGTGAGTGGGAGTTTACCCAACCAATCTACATGCACTTTGTGGATTTCAGGAAGCCCTTTTGGGGGTACTTCGAGAATATGCAGTACTAGGCCCTCTGATATAGGCTGTTGGGTCCGGTTAGGTTATATGACCGGTGCCAGAGCTTGGTCCATATTGTTGGCAGTAAGTTGAGCTCGTTTCCAGTGAGGGTTGGAATCCGCCAAGGCTGCCTTTTGTGATCGATTCTGTCCATAAATTATGGATAGGATTTCTAGGCACAGCCAAGGTATTGAGTCTCTGATTTTTGCAGATGATGGGGTCCTGTTGGCTTCATCAGAACATGATCTCTGGCTCTCACTGGAGCTGTTCGCAGCAGAGTGTGAAAAAGCTGGGTTGAGAATCAGCTCCTCTAAACCCGAGACCGTGGCCGTGAGTCGGAAAAGGGCAAAATGCCTTCTCCAGGTCAGGGATGAGGTCCTGCCTCAAGTGGAGAAGTATAAGTATCTCGGGGACTTGTTCACAAGTGAGGGAAAACTGGAGCGTGAAATCGATAGGCGGATTGGTGCTGCATCTGCAGTAATGCGAGCTGAGCTGAAAGGCAAGGCTCTCGATTTATGGGTTGATCTACGTTCCAACCCTCACCTATGGTCACAAGCTAATAGTGACCGAAAGAATGAGATTGCGGATACAAGTGGCCAAAATTAGTTTCCTCTGCAGGGTGGCTGGGTCCTCCCTTAGAGATAAGGTGAGAAGCTCAGTCATCCGGGAGGGGCTCGGAGTCGATCTGCTGCTCCTCCACATTGAGAGGAGCTAGTTGCTACTGCCCTCGCGACCTGATCCCGGATAAGCAGCCGAAAGCGGATGACATGATAAATTGCCAAACAGGTAGCTAAACGTTTGAAGCAGGTGTATTGGAGCAGGAAAACAAATAAAGCATGCAAGATAGTTGCTGTCAAAGAACAGGACTGGACACCACTGACTTATAGTTTGACTACACATTAATAGATTATCTTATTCTGATCAATTTATTTTGGTGGAACATTATAAGCGTGCTTAAATAGTTTGTGTTGTTTTATTTATTTATTTTTTCTGTCTGAAATAATTATTCATGTTAGCAACTGTGATTTTCATGTGCCTAGATTTGTTATGGTAGAAGATCCAGCTGGTTGGATGTCTGTTGATGCAAAAACTGGACAAGTTACAACGATCAAGAAAATGGACAGAGAGTCACCCTTTGTTGATAAAGACAATATTTACAGAGTTGTCATTGCTGCTATAGATGACGGTATGAAGTGGTTCAAATAAATATTGTAACCACAGTAAAAATGCATTATGTCCAAATAAATAAATATTAATTACTTTTCCTTTGCTGTGGTTTCTAAGGCACACCTCCTGCCACAGGCACCTGCACAGTCAAGATCCACCTCAGGGATATCAATGACAACACCCCTAAGCTCGTCAACTCAAGTATGATCTTTTGTGATAACAAAGTTATCAAGATCATGGTGTCTGCTAAGGACAGTGATGCAGAGCCATACAGTGGACCCTTCATCTTCACCTTGAGGGATGATGAAACTCTGAAACGGCTGTGGAAACTTGACCCTGCTCATGGTTGGTCCAAAACTCCTCTAAATTATTCTTGATTGAAAATAAAAGCGGATATTTGAAAAGCCACTGACACATCTTTACATCTTTACCAGGGGAAGAAGCTGGCCTTGTTGCCCTGAAGTCACTTGAAAGGGGTAATTACTCCATTCCTCTGCGGATTCAGGACAAACAGAATATGATTGGACACGAGACGTTGGAGGTGGAGGTTTGTGACTGTGGAGGAGGAGGCGTTTGTGTCAGGACTATAAATCCACTCTCAACTAATGTCAGTGATGCTGCCATTGGAATAATAAGCCTTGGACTGCTTTTATTTCTGAGTGAGTATGACAATCATTAAACACAAATGGCAAAAGCAAAAAATATAGATAAAAAAAAACCAAAAAAATCTTCCAAATGCTCCAACCTACAACTAATGTCACACGAAACACATTTGGCCGTGATATTATTTAGCCTAATTTTTATCCACCTGCATTTCTGCAATTAAATGTTTTGAAAACTAACTTATTTAACAGATGTTGGGATGGTGATTAATTGCATTCATCTATTGACATGTTGTACAACTCAGATGTTAAAATTCACAACTGCAAAGACAGTAAAGAGAGAGACTCCAGGCCAGGATTCAGAGACCTTCTTGTAGCAGGGCAGCAGCTGTGCTAACCACTGTGCAGCACCACCATGTATGCACATAACAAGATATTATATATGACGCGACTGTAATTTCAAATCTTACTCACATTAATTCAAAACCTTGGTTTCTAAACAAGGTTTCCTTGTGTTGTGTCTGCAGTACTGGGGGTCGTTTTTATTTGCAATAGAAAAAAAAAAGAATTCCAAACTTTTGAGGACCAGGGCCATCAGTCACTCATCCAATACAATGAAGAAGGAATGAGCGTTGACTGCAAGGTTAGTTAGTTGTGATGTGGTTGAGCAAAATTTGTGAGTGAGACAATAATTGACTAAACACCATTACTACCTTTTCTTACTTCTACAAGGCTGAACCAGTTCACCTAGGAAATGATGGAACTGTGACAGATGGAATAAAACAGAGCTCTGTGAAGGTAAAAAAAATACTTTCGTTTTCTAATTCACTCTATTTTAATACATTATAGTTTTGCAAGTGTTGTTTTGATGAGAGCAGACAAACTTGTTTCCAAAGGGGGGCGAAAAATCCAGATATATTTTTGTGTAGAAACGTTTAAACATTTTTGAAAGTTGTTCCCTTGTGAACTAATAAATGGCAGCTGTACTTAGTGATACTCTCTTTTCCTTTACCCAGCCGACATAATTATGTTTTATTTTCTCCTCTCTCATTTTGATTTTAAGAAACACACACGCACACAGAAAAGAAAAAAGTGAGAAAAGAAAAGAATCACCCTGATGAAAGACTTCACAGCTTTAACCAATACAATACAATAAATGAAAATATGTTGCTTTTACAATATCAAACTAAGTTCATAGACATCTTCAAATGACTTAATGATGCATTAAATGTCTGGCATGACACAGCACATCCAATGTAAACTAAAGATTAAACTCCAACGGCTTCTCACTGTGATTGCCATCAACAAGACTAGCAATTACAGTTTTTCTCAGTCGCTTTGGTGCGTTTCTCAGAACACTATTAATATTTGCACAGCAATTAGTGCATTTCTCAAAACAATTAGTGCAAACTGCAAAACCTAGTGGATAGCCTGCAAAAGCACGTCACATACTCAAAATTTATAATCCACCCCTCAAAAGCAAGTATTCATGTCAATTAAACTGTCAGTGCCATCAAAATGAAAAGTCTTGACACCATCTTTATGAACAAGATAGTCAAATGGCTTTGTCATGTTTTCACTATGACAGTTTACAATTTCAGTGTTTTCCATTGCAAGAATATTTGGTGACACCTGAAAATGCTCAAGACAGCACTATGCCCTACTTGTACAGCCATTTGAAATGTGCAGTAAAGTTACTGTAGATGTTATGGGAGTTTTGGGAGTAACTGAGACACTGAATACGTACGTTTTACATTTTTACTGTATAGAAGTGTTTGTAATTCTACAGTATTGTGCAAAAGAAAAAATATGCTACAGTCACTTGCTTACTGTAGAATACATGTAAACATAAAATCACCCTTTTGGTAGAGCTGTGCACAAATGTGAACAATATACAGTTAATGTAACAGTACATACAGTATTGCACAGTACTGTAACATACAGGTACAGTAAATCATCAAAGTCAAAGTCGTTTCATTGTCAATTCTATCACATGTGCAAGACATACAGAGAAATGAAATTGAGTTTCAGTACACACAATTCAGAGATCAGACATACATGGGCAAGACATAACAAGAATTGGTGACTGTGGTTCTTCGCAACACGAGTCGCGCTACCTTAATAGATGAAAAGGGAATTACATGAGGATAGATCGGGGGAGGGAAAAAAAGGCATACCAGAGTTACTCCCAGCAGGGCGTAGCTTTACTATGCAAAAAAATGCCTCAACATATAAGCACGAACATCACAGTTCACAACATGAGACTCCAATAGGGAGGCGGGGGTGGGGGGGCGGGGATCCTGTTTCCCCAGGGCGAGCAGCCATGTGTAGCGCTCAGCCAGCTGTATCCGCAGGAGGGAGGGAGGAGCGCAGAGCACATTTGAGTTCCTGCAGATTGATGACCTCGCTAGGCAGAAGTCCACAGTCTGAAGGTGGGGTGGGTGGGTGGGGGGGAGGGGGGGTGTTCACAGCATCTGCCTGCATTCCTTCCTTCGTGGAGGTTGTTGTTGGCAGCTCAAGGCTGCCTTGGCGTCAGATTTGGATAACAAGACTGTGTTTGGGTCAGGCAGAGATAATTTTCCTCCCTGCCTTCAGTCTGTAAAAGGTCATTCCAGTCCTTCAGTGAAGCCAAATTAGGTTATTAAACATCTCCACACCATCCGGTGACCCTCTCTGTGACGACATCCATTTTGCGCACTAACACAGGTAATGCAGCTAAGACATTGTCCAGCTTATGATTCACCTCGAGTAACGTCCCAGTCTGTGAGGTCTCCACCCGGGCGGTGCTTCCCGTGGGTGCGGGTCGCCCTCCAATCGCTCCCGTCTTCCCAAATTTCCAGAAAACCAGATATCCTCCCACTCCACTCAGAAGAAATCCAGTGATCATCAGGCCAAATATCCACATATCTTCGACGTCCTCAATGGACAGCTGAGAGAGACAAACGATCTTCCACTCCTTCCAGGAATCGAGCATATATCCCGCTGCGAGTGTCCCTTGCGGGCAAGTGGGAGCCCCCTCCTCCGTTCTCATCGTAGAAAAAAATCTTATCAATCGTGTTGAATGACCAATTAATTAAATCCATTTCTGAAAAATAGGGATTTCCAGAAGAAGTGCAGAGAGCGCTCTGAAGCAGACAGGACAAAAGAGCCTTGGGAAAAAAAAAATAAGGGAGCAAAGCAGAAGTGTCTGTGCTCTGTGAGTGCCAGGAGAACTTCTGGCACATCCAGACGTTCCTGTCTGTCTGGCCACATATTTTCATCTACATCACAGCGGATGTCATCCCTCGCAATGCAGCGAGGAAAGTATCTCCTGGAGTGGCGAATCCATCCTCTGCAGGATTCTGCTGTGATGTCATCACAAGCTGCATCCATGGCTACTAGCAGGGCCATTTGGGTATGTGGATGCTTGTCATATACCTTCCACCTCCAGGAAGAGAAAAACTCCTCAATTGGAATTAGGAATGGAGTGTAAGGAGGAAGAAACTCCATAAGCATCCTGCCGTGTGCTGCAAACCACTGCCTGCCTGTCGTGTGCTGCAAAACACTGCCTGACTACAGCAGAGTGATGGAAGCTAACATTATCCCAAACCATTACATACATTGTCCGATTGTCACCAGGACACACAACAATTTTCATTAGTGTGAGATAAGGTTAATCTGAGAACAGTAATTTATGGAGATTTCCATGGAAACTCCTTAAAAATAGGGTTTTCAAAATGGGTGTACAAATTGTTTGACAAGATGTTCAACAGTTTTGAGTGCAATGACACAAGCAATGAAATGAAGACTATTAGTTGTAAGGACGATGACTATTCAGCCGGTACAAGTATAAATAATTGTGACATTCATGATAAAAGCAAGGAGATAGTGATGAATAGCAAGTCAAAAGGGACCATTCTTTAGACATTTGTACTTACTCAGCTGCTTCATGTCCAAAGGCATTTGCCTTTAGATGAAATGAATGTGAAATCGCCACTAGGTTGTGCCAAAACGACTACTTGTTGTGGAGGTTGAACTAACTGTTGTGCAAAGTTTAATTCTGTTGTGAGAAATGCACCAAAGCAACGGAGAAAAACTGTAAGAGGGCATTTACTGGAGCCAGGCAGCTTTCAGGAGTGACATGTTACCCAGTAGATAGATAGATAGATAGATAGATAGATAGATAGATAGATAGATAGATAGATAGATAGATAGATAGATAGATAGATAGATAGATAGATAGATAGATAGATAGATAGATAGATAGATAGATAGATGGATGGATGGATGGATGGATGGATGGATGGATGGATGGATGGATGGATGGATGGATAGATGGATAGATGGATAGATAGATAGATAGATAGATAGATAGATAGATAGATAGATAGATAGATAGATAGATAGATAGATGATAGATAGATAGATAGATAGATGATAGATAGACAGATAGATAGATAGATAGATAGATAGATAGATAGATAGATAGATAGATAGATAGATAGACTTCATTACACATTCAAGGTCCAGCTTATAGTAAAAAAAAACAATATTAAAATCATAGAAAAACAAAACTAAAATAAAGTATAAAAAAGGTACCATATAAAACCATAAAGAAACATATCTATGCTGTAATAACTCTATAGTTTCAAACATTAAGAGTGCAAATTCTCACATTAAGCTTGTTAGACAGCAATCATGACAGATCAATTTATTCTCTTCTAGAAAACTGAGACAGCCCGAGATATGTGGTATGATGAGAGGCAGAACACCACTATTGTGAGTAACTTGTTTCTAAAACACCCTTTCAAATCAAAAACTGATCAAATAACTTTGAAAGTAAACTATTACTTTATATCTTGTAACATCGATTTAGCCACACGGTGAAATGAACAGGAGGCACATGTAGATCTCTTAGCATGACATTAATCCTGTGCACCACTGTTTTACACTAACTTTGCTGTATTTACCCGAACAGATAAACTCACGTACAAGCACGAGGATGGGCACGGGCAGGGGTTCGAGCTCCATGGGCACGCAAAAAAATAGAACCTCTAGAAATGTAAATGGTTCATCAAAAGTGAGTTTTCATTTGGTTGTCTGACATTAGATCATAGCTTTATGCTAAACTTGGTGTTGATCAAAATCATATTGATAAAACTACTAGAGGCTGCTTGAATCCTCAATGTTTTATAGTTTTTATCCAATTACATTATCAATGACATAAAGAACTACACACGACACAGAATAAAGAAAACAGCATTCTGTTGCTGTGCTGTTTGTCAGATAAAGTCAAGCAAGGCCAGAGGTCTAAATTTAATAGTGGTTTGGTTTCCCTTTGTTTAGAATTCAAGCCATAGACACACAGTTAAGGTAAGTAGTCTGCATAGCATTTTATAAAACCAAAGTACACTCAAAGAAATTTAATGTTAAGGAAGCATTAGTACACTCATCACCTTTTGATACATCATGAACACATATCTTTCTCTGCTTTTAGCGGTCCAGCTCGATGTACAGTCGCTCTTTGTCATCGTATCCCCATCTCAAGGAATTGATGGAAAATGTAAGACAGCACTACAAATTCTGATTAACTGCACTTAATATTAATCTTAATGTTAATTTTTAATTATTTTATTCTACAGACTCTTACTAAAAAATTTCAAGAAGATGCAGACGGACAAGAGCACAGTCCTTTTAAGTTTGCATATGAGGGGGAGGTCAGCAGATGCGAGTCACTGGATGAGCTGACATTTGACAAACTGGATGGAAACTTGTCCTTTCTGGATGATCTAGGGCCGCAGTTCAACACCTTGGCAGAGATGTGTAACGCTTCAGCTGTGAAAAAGACATACAGCTCCTACAGGGTTACAGACTGTCAAAACTGAGTCCCTTTTCTTTCAGTGTCGGATTAAAGATACAAATTGATTTACCTGGATTTGTGGGGAAGCGCCTGGATTTTTAACTTTATGTAGATTGTGTACATTATGGATTTGAGTGTGACATCTTTTAAGCCAGGTATTTTCATCTGTGCATGGGACAAGGATTTCTGTAGCAACAGCCTCATTGTGCTGTTATGTATGAGCATGTCATGCCCTGATGGTTCTGAAAACTCCTTGTTCAGTGGTTGGATGTGTTTCATTGTTTTTGTTTATGTTTTTATAATGTTTCTAAAACACGAGGGACTGGAGCTATTTAACAGTTGACTTTCTTTCTATATGGGGATTTTGAAATGTCACAATTGTTTCAAATGTGTAACAAAAAGAGAAATGTGGAAACTTGGATCGTAGGATTTTCAAACTGCATTACCTTATTTTAGTTTTTAGAATAATTTTTTTTCAGTAGCACTAGTTTAATCATCTCACAAGGCGGAGTTTAAAAATAACTCGAATCTTTGTAAGGAAAGTGTAAATGGCTGTTTGGTGTATGGTAGGAAATAAAATCAGACTATTTTTAATTCATCATTGTGTTAAACATTTGTTACCTGAACCCTTAAACACAGTTTTTTTTTGGGCGGGGGGGGGGGGGGGGGGCAAGAATCCTATCACTGCGAGAGCTGATATATATCCACATACAAGCTATATTGATTGCTTAGTTGCTACAAAACTCATTTGTTTTCTTTAGACCTCTGAATTATTTAGCTGTTGAGAATATTTGTAATCTGGGGATGTTGTGACAATTTCTATTTTGTGGGTCTGAAGTTGACACGTTTGGGAATCGCTGTTCTAGACAACGTTGTTGTTGTTTTGTAGTATTTCAAATGAAGAGACTTCCAATCAAAGTTACTCAGGAGCAAAAACTGTACTGTGATTAGATGTTTGTGCTCTATTCAGATGAAAGCAGCATCACAGAGATGGGAGGGTTGCACCTTGATATGCAGCAGAACTCATGCTTGTGCAGCATGTTGCATTCTGAACAAGCAGCAGAGATTTTATCTAGACACTAAATCTGTCTTTCAGTGTGGAAATCTAAAGAGATTAGTTATTAACTTTATCACAGGCAGAACTCTACTTTCTGCCCAGGGAAGCTATCACTTCCAGGTTACAACCAATATATGTGTATCTCTCAAAGTTAATTTAAATCTAAATTTTGTGGAAATGCAGCTAAAGTGACTTTTTTTTATTTATTTATGAATTGCCATGATTTGTCATAAAGAGAGTGATGGTCAAAATCTTCCTTTAACTGCGGTACCATTCAGATCTTCATTAGAAGTACATCTGTTTCTAATCTTTTCATTTTAAGAGTGAATTGCCACATTTCTGTTGATTTCTCACAATCTAGTACACCCAAACAAATGTTCAAAGCTATGTGTTCTAAATTTTCTACCCAGCATGTTGTGTTGGACAGATAATTATCTTCAGGTCATGTTGCAAAGACAGCACTGCATTTCAACAAACAGGCTAAAAAGTTTCAGGTCTGACAGCCAAAGTAGACTAAATATTTTATAAGTGTTACATGTCTGCTGAAAATGTTTTTCCCTTCAGCTTTTTTTGTCCCTCTCATCATTCTTAGGTGCAGAGCACAGGCTACTGGAATGCTGGGATCTGGGTAGATGACGAGATGACTGCCATTAAACTAACTTGGATCATTAAGGACCTGTCTGGACCAATCAGGAACTAATGGGCCATTCCCATCTGTACCGGGTCGGCCCGGGCCGGGTAGCATAGGTTGTTTACATATCTGGGTGGCCTGGTATTTTTCCGGGCCAACCAAGGCTCATTCTCAGCCCTCTTCTCGAGGGAGTCTGCTTCAGGCCGACCAGGGCCGACACACCCACTGCTGACAGCAAATTCACACCTTCCATTACAGCAAGCCTCTGATTGGTGGGTAGAATCAGCCCATTCACACCTTCCATTAGAGCAAGCCTCCGATTGGTGGGTAGAATCAGCCCACATGGGCTTAAGACAAGGATGTGTGGAATCAACCGGGCCAGGCTGGGGCCGACTGGGGCCGACTGGGGGCCGACTGGGGCTACCCGGCCCGGGCCGACCCGGTACAGATGGGAATGGCCCAAAAGACTACCATACCAGGGAGTCAGAGCTTCCTCCAGCCCTTCTCCCCTCACATTCTTTGGCTCGGTTGGATTAAGTTCCATATGAATGAAGCCTCTTCTTCTTCATTACAACTGTTGTTTTGCACCCTTCATTCTTTTCCACCTGAAGTGGGGGCTTGTCCAGGATATTTTTTTTTCCCCTGTGACCTGTGTTTTCTGCCTTAGTGAGTGGTGGGTCTTAGTGTTTGTTGAAGATATGCTTCAACCTCAAGAACTTTGCTGGTTCCCCCTGCTGTGAAAAGTTGTTTTGTGTTGTAAATATGACTTTTTGTGTCTTGTTGCACATTTTGACATTCCTGTTAATAAGTAGGCTGTAAAGAAAGAGCTTAAAACCAAGACTGTGAATATCCTAGTTGAGCTTGACATCCTTGAAATTGTAAGCGTGCCTGGTGCAAATGTTTGTATTGACAATGTTCTACAGATTATTTTTCAAAGAGTGAGACAGCACTGGCTGTAATGACTTCCCAAAAAAGGTAAGCATATTCTGGTTCTGCTGCTGGCCTGTGACCCACAGACGCTCCTAGTTGCTCTCCAAAGCTCCTCGGTGCGCTGATAGTGAGCTGTGCTCATCATGGTGTCCAGGTCTGAGATAATGCACTGATGTTCTGATGGGGATCTTTTCTTCATTGATTTAGTTATCTTTGTGATCTTCCATGTTCGTAACGTTTTAAATGTCTGCAGGCCTCTATGCATCAGGATAATTCCAGTGTGTCAGAATGACCAACAAACATGATTTTTTTCTGTAAAAATAAATGGTCAAAAACAAAAACTATCCGGTTAATGTGATCCCTGCCTGCATTTCACTTTTTTGCTTTCTTGATAACATGGCAGTCCTTCACACAGCAGGAGCGTACCGTTTTCTGCAGGTTTATTAACTCACAACACACAAAGCAACCGACTCTTCCTTTGTTTATACACTTAGCTATCCCATCATGCAACACACTACAGCACCCGATACGTCAACTGACATGGACCAATTTTTGAACCCGTTTTGCCTCGCCTCAGCAGGTCTAGTAATGAAGCTAGACTGGAGGTCCGGCAGGCTCTGCTACAGTTGGACATACAGCAATGGAAGATGGTGCGTAGGGGCAGAGTATGACCTGAAACTCAAAATTCATCAGGTGGAAATCAAAGCCAAGAAAGAAATTAGGCTGCATCAGCTTGATGTAGAATCTTCAAATCTTTCACCAGGTTCACCAGTTTGGTCTGATACTAGGCAGAAGTCACCAAATCAACACAGGTTGTTTGTAAGCTTTAGTATCCTTTGAAAATGATTGCCACAGCTCTAGATTAACCAAAATAACAATTGGCCTATGCTGCTAGAATTCAACGGGAGAGGCAGAAGAGATGATTTCCACTATTTCCACAAAGAATGACATGGATTATAAGACACTGAAATAATCAATTTACATACATATGATCTTGTACCTGAATCCTAAAGCCCTCAGTCTGTTTCATTTTGTTTTATTATGTGTTCATTGCATTATTTGTGAAGCGTCTTTGAGTGACCAAAAAAGTGCTATGTAAGTTTGATGTATTATCATTATTATTATTATTAAAGGCAGACATTTAGGAATGACATGGTCTAGTGCAGTGGTTCCCAAACTTATTTAGCCGCGCACCCCCTTCTATGTCCAGACCATGTCGAAGCACCCCCCCCCCCCCCCCCCCCACGCCCTCACATCGGGGCATGTCTCTCTCTCTCTCTCTCTCTCTCTCTCTCTCTCTCTCTCTCTATGTATGTATATATATATATATATCAGATGTCAAGCTAAACAGACAGGGTTAAAAAAATTCCCCATCACTTTCATTTTTTAAATAGTAATTAATAAACATTTGATACCATTACAATTTCCTTTGATTTCATTTTAAATAAATATTTAGAGTGCCCACGTAGCACATAAACAATCTAATTTAACGGTTTTCTTAAAGTAGGAACGTTTAACCTGTGCGGCCAGAGCGCTCTCCTTCCTTCTGTTCTGCGTAAACCTGAGCTGATCACCTACTTGTGCGTAATCAAACGTCTATAGGGGAAAAGATGGAAAAGATATAGCCATGAGGTTCACTTTTACCTCAGACCAACTTATTGCTGTTTTATGGTGTGGCTGAATCTGCGATCCGCTGCCACGCCGACTGGAAAAACAAATGCTGCAGTAACATGAGATGTGGTCAGGTTCATGAGGAGTCACTGGCTGGAGCGGACCCGACTCATCCCAGAAGCTAATATCTTAATTTGACCTTGAATGAAAAATAACCTCTTAAAAGTTTTTATCACGGTGGAGGCAGCGTTCATTTCTGCCTTCAGTCTGACTGCGCGCCGGAGTTAAAGCAGCGTGTGCGCTTATTGAATCTGTGTGCGTGTGTGTGTGTGTGCGCGCGCGCGGCACAGCCGCTCAAGTCACCACGTCTCGCGCTATTAAAACCAATGTTGTAAAATTACTTCTGCCCAGCCCAGATGTGCTCACTTGTGCACCCGTGAGCCGTGGTTCAGCCGGAACACGTCTGACCTCTGACAGACGCACTCTGAACTTCAGATCTTCAGCGCGCTGTTAATAGCCTGAATGGGAATCATTTCTTGTTATTTTGTTACATCCACAATGTTCTGTGTGTGAGGTTTACAATGTCAGAACACCTGCATGAGACAGGTGTTAATTACAATCTGCCAGAATGACTCACCACCTTCAGATTTCTCCAACACCGTTAAAAATTATCAAGAGTGCTGAAGCTCGACGCATTGTTATTATGAAGCTAGGGCACATGCGGAGGACACGCGCGCGCGACGGAACATATCGGCGTGCGCAGGCCAGAGTGCTGAAGCTCGGCGCATTGTTATTATGAAGCCGGGGCACATGCGGAGGACACGCGCGCGCGCGACGGAACATATCGGCGTGTGCAGGCCAGAGTGCTGAAGCTCGGCGCATTGTTATTATGAAGCCGGGGCACATGTGGAGGACACGTGCGCGCGCGACGGAACATATCGGCGTGCGCAGGCCAGAGTGCTAAAGCTCGGCGCATTGTTATTATGAAGCTATGGCACATGTGGAGGACACGCGCGCGCGCGCAAAAATATACTTGTTTTCACTTACATTTATTGTGCCCACTTACTTTTTCTTTTGCCCACCCACAAATGAGTTTCTACAATAATGGTGACACATGACAGACTTCTCTGAGCTCCGCAGCCATTACACTGTTCACCTCGCGCACCCCCTAGCGGCAGCTCGCGCACCCCCAGGGGTGCGCGCACCACACTTTGGGAATCCCTGGTCTAGTGGATGGACCTTTTTTGGACTAAAAAGGGGATGCCATTTGATAAACTGTGCTGTAAATTGCAAGTCCCACCGACAATTGGTTTAATTAAACCATTTTAAAAACACATTGCCAGAAAAGGTGATGATCTTCTTAAAGGGG